AACAATTTTGAATGTGCATGGCAAGCCAAGCAAATCTCGTTGTTGTTGACGTGAAAAATCTCGGGAGAGAACATCATGGGGTTGGTTTACTTTCGTAGCAGCCTTCATATTTTGTTTCGAAACATTTTATTCTGTTTACGTGCATTTTTATGTGTTTTAAACAACATAAATTTTATTACAGCTTTTTTTTTGGATTATTCATTATGAGTATAAAACAAACATAATTTTTCATTTATAAATTTCTAAAAAAAAATATCCCCATATAGCTTTGCTTTTGTGTGTATGTGTTTGTTTTTTTTTTATTACAAAAACCGACATATTATAGAAGAATGTCGTCATCTTGATAGACAGCACAAAGCACGATAGCATCCCTATCTGGACAAATTGCGTGAAACCTGTGTCATATAATTGTAATAAAATTGACAAGAGAAGTAAATAAAAAGTTTATATGCATTTGCTATTTCATGTTTTGATAAGGACATCATATTTGCTTGTTAGTGATAACTTTCTTTTATTCGTGTGTCTGTTTTTTCATTTGTTTTCTTAACATTTTTAAAAACCAAAATAATAAAACTTTGTACCGTGGGAATGACCCGTTAAAAATTTTAAATCTCATTGCCAAAAAAAATTTACTTAAAAGTTCATTAAAGTTACTGCAATGAAGTTTTTTGGAAAAAATTTCAAAAAATAAAAACATGCCCGTTTTTTTTAAATTTTTTTTTAAAAAACCCATTCCTTAACCATTTTTAAAATTTTTTTTTGGGTCGTTTTAAAAAACCGGTTTTGGTTTTGATTTCTTTGGAACTTTGCTTTTCTTTTTTTTAAGGTTGTTTAGCAATCAAACTTTTTTACATAACATTTAACGAAATTTAAAAAAGTTTTTGATTTTTTTTTACCATCAAAAATTTTTTAAAATTAAACTCCCTTTTACTTTTCCCAAAATTAAAAAGGGAAATTTAAAAAACACTTCACCTTTAAAGAAAAAAAAAGAACCCAATAAAACGGGGAAAAAACTACCTTCATTCTTTTTTTCTTTTTTTTCTTAATAATCAAATTTTAAATTTTTGGAAAAAATTTATGACAAGTTCAAATCAATTTCTTAGATTATTAAAAATCCAAAATCTTTAAATTTTCCCTGAGTGGAAATTTAATTTTTTAAACTTTTCCCCCTTTTAAATTTGTTTTAAAAACAAATGATTAATCATTATTTTTTATTCGGGCCAATTCCATTCCTAAAAAAACTTTTAACTTTTGATTAAAAAAAACACCCTTCCTTTCCCAAAGTTTTTAATTTCCCCTTACTTTATTTTAGAAGAAATCAAAAATTTACTTAAAATTTTAAAAATGTTATTTGAACAAAATTGATACTTTGATTTTAAATTTTTAAACAAGTTTTAACCGTTTTCATACTTTTGCCCCCAAAAAAATTAAAATTAAATGTTCAATTGCATATATCAAGGCATATTTTACCGAGTTTTAGAGTTCATTTTATTATGTATGCAGTCGTTGTTTATTTAAATGGGAGAAGTAACATATTTATCATCTATAACCCGTTATGTGCTCACTTTGACTTAAAGTTTAATTTAATTCAAATGAAATGAATATCTTAATAAAATGCAAATCTATATATAAAAAAGATGCCCAATGGCAACATTTCGAGTCTGCTGACCTTGAGGTATGACCTTGAGCTTTGAGCTAGTCAAACGGTTCTTAAGCGCGACATGCCGTCTGATGATGTTAAACATTTGTGCCATGTGATTTGAAAATTTCTCAGCTAGTTATAAGGTTATGGTGCGGACAACCTGTTTGAGACATTTTTTCCTGTATTTAACCTTAAAGTAAGACTTTGACCTTCGACCTAGTCACGCGGTTCTTGCGCGCGACACACCATCTTATGATGCTGAACATTTGTGATTCCACCAGCAGGTTACAGAGTTATGGTGCGGACAAGCTGTCCCAGACCACTTTTCTGCATTTGACCTTTAAGTCTGACCTAGACCTTTGACCTAGCAACACGGTTCTTGCGCTGTCTTATTATTGTGAACATTTGTTGCCAATTATTTTGAAAATTTTGCCAACCAATGACAGACAGGAACCCCCCCCAGCAAGCATAACCGGACGGACGGACGCACGCACCACGAAAATACAAAGAACCGCAATCTATACAACTGTCGAGCTGACCGCAAGCGGACTCGACAAAAAGAATGAACATTTTCTTGAAGAAACTTTGATGATTTTTGATAAAATGCAATTATACTTGTTAACATTTTCTTACAGAAGGTAACAGAACTCTACTTATGCATTATCATTATACTTTGAACTGCCAAAATATAATGTTATTACGAAACTTTTCCATCATAAGTTCAGGCAAAACAATTCAATGTTAAGCAAATAAAAAGTAATCTCTTTCATAGCATTCATTAGAATTACCATATAACCATTGGGCCAAATTTATATTGGCTCTATTCTTCCTGTAAAAATCCACCTACATGTATTAATTCAAAATTATGCGAGAGACCAAATTTATCAGCCTGGAAAAAATCAATTCCAAGGAATTTATACATCTAAGTTGAATGACTGAATAAAGTGTCGCGTAAACAATTGCAGCTGTATATCCAATTTGTGACTCTCAAACTTTGGGGGAATAAACAAACCATTCAGTTTCAATTTTAGAAGAAAACAGAATATGTGAAAATCTACGAAGCTTAAATAATTATTGTTTGAAATTGATGTTCAAGCTTTTCAGTTAGCCGTTGTTCCCATATTTTTCGACAGTGTGTTGATTCCCATAAAAAAGTGTAAATTCAAAAAAAGCCAACCTTTTTATTTTTCTTAGCAACCATTGTGATTTTTCCGTAGCAACCAACTACTCATTATCAACAGGTGACTTTTCATGCAATCATTGATTTTCCTGACAACCGGTTTGACTTTTTATAGCAGTCCAAGAGGAATTCCCCATAACAACCATTACTTAATATGCAATAAGTGACTTTCATAGAAACAGTATTTTCGAAGAAACCACTTGTATTCTCTAGTAGAACCAGTGACTTCCATAACATTCCAACGAATTCATAGCCAAATTATTTGACTTCCATAGCAATTTTATTTCCATAACAACCCATGACTTTCAAACCATTATCGGCTTTCCATTACCCAACCCAAAGACTTCCTGGAACCATGACATTCCCTATAAGCACCAATGACTTTTATTAAAAACCATTGACTTTTACTAAGCAAGTATTTGTACTTTCCGAGCAACACCCTAATGTCTCCCCCGATTATCAACCCTATTGGCTTTGCATACGCAACCACGTGAATTTCGATAAACCCTAATCTATGAACCAGCCAACCCAATGTCTCTAATATGGGGAGACACTGACTTCTAGGTAAGCGCAACGTATAGAGGACCTGTCTTTTTTGTGTATCAACCGGGGACTTCTTTAGCAACCATTGACTTTCCATAGCGATCAGTGAATTTAACATTGACTTCGATAGCTACCACTTACTTCAATACCAACCATTTATTTTGTATAGCAACCAGTGCCCTTTATAGTAAATATTCAATGTGCATTATTTCAGATATAGATATACATATTGTGATATCAGTTTAAAATCTAGACTTTATATATGCTTCGTATTTGCAGAGTGAATATTTATTGTTCTAGTAGTAAAAGCCTTTAAGTGAATATTTATTTTCTTAGATAGATCAGTTCGATTCTTTCCTTTAAATAAAGTTTTGATTCATAACTCGCAAAAGAGATCTTAGTGTACTGAAACTGACATCAACAAAAACAAGCATAAAAGTCTGATAGGCGATTCACATACACATGGACAAATCAATGCAATGAGCATGTGCATCAACCAAAATTTTGTGACTTATTATTACAATATTACATAATTGATCAATAGAAATTTAGCAATAAAAACAGAAGTGAGTTATAATAATTAGAATTTGTTGAAATTTGTTTTAACCAACCTGTGAATATGCCTTTGGATAATCTAGGTCTGCAAGTAATACAAACCAATCAACACAGCTATGGCCTCTATTGATTCGGCTGTCTCTAGAAGAATATGGTATCATCACAAACAATAGCCATGTTCACAATACGTTCATATTTCTCAATTGCAACCAACTTTGGTGTTGACTCTGGTGCAAAAGAAAGAAGTCTCCCAAGTTTCCCATCATCTTCAAGCTGAAACAAATATTGATAATTTGTATACATCAGTTTTAAAAAAACTGTAAGTATTTGTATAAACCATAGAGATCATTATATGTTAAAAGCATTAAAATTTAAAACTAATCACTGAAATCTGTAATAAAAGGTATTTTTTTTACTGAATGTTGTTGTTTTTTTAACCTTCTGTATTGTCTTTGCCTTTGCCTTGTTGACATGTATTCCCGTTACTTTTTTTTTGTTTGTTTGTTTGTTTGTTTTTTGAGCCAGTAAGAATGTTTATGTTTTGATAAAAGGTTAAATCAAGTCTTTCACTTTATTAATTACGCAAAATGCAATCATTCACCAGGTGGCACTTAATTACTTTTTGCAGTACTATTATTAATAATACTTTTTTAATATGTCCGTTTTTATTAAATCAAACGACATCTGCATATTTTAATACTCATATGACTTGCTAAATAAAATAAAATGGAAAAGAGACGGGATTACCTTTTTGTTAATATACATGTATTTGCAAAATTGTATCTAAATTTTCAACATAAAATAAACTTTATGGGTTTTGTTTTCTTGGTAACACAAATCTATGTGGCATAATGTTTGATGTCGAATAATGCTGATATCGGTACTAACCAAGTAACAAACAATAAACCTGACTATACTTTATGCAAATTACTCTATTTGTTCACCTCACAATATTTTACTTTCAAATACATTTCCAAAATTTTCAAGAAAAAACTAACGTGAATCTGGAGGTGTGCAGCTTTAACAAATTATTTAGTAAGATGATAAAACATAAAGTAGTGTAAACTCAATAGATATGTATTTCTACTCACGCCCCGGGTACACGGAATACATCAGGTTGAACTTGGCTAACATCAAAGTTATCACACAACACACGTGCCAACGATATGTTACGTAGCTCCGCTAGCTGACCTAAAAATAATAAATACTGTACTCTTAGATATCTATATAATACGTAATAACACATACATGGAAGAATGTTGGTTTTAAATAAAACAGTATCTTTGTTTTAAATTTAATAAAATGAAATTATAAAATTATAATATATCATGTAGAACAGAGTACTTATATGAAAAAATGCATTTTTCAAGGTAGAAAGCATTCATTGAAAACAAATTCTCCGGTAGATGTTAAAACTACATATCCATGGTAAAAAATTTTGTTCGTACGATCGCGATGTACATGTATATAAGGTTGAACGGCTTAGAAATTAAACTTAAGCTCAGTTACCTTTTGTAAACCTTATGACTGGATCTTGTGTCTCGTGCCAGTACCTGTCACCTAATCTCAACCTTTTAAATTGTTTTCCTAACAAACAAGCAAATGTTGGTCCCACAGAGCTGTCAGGCAGTAATGTTTCTGTCATTGCACCGGCAAACAAATCTATGTCATCTACGTGACTGTAAGAGGCAGGGAAATATATTAATATAAATGTTATAACAAAGAATAAATAAATCTGTATAGTGACGACATAAGTATCAATGCTGTATGAGAAATGGTTCATAACATTTCAAAAGATAGGTGTGTTAAGGTACTTAAGATCTTTTTGATTTACAAGTCAAACTACGTTACCACCGACAGAAAAAAAAAATATGAATAAGAAAATTATACCAGGCTGTGTATGACAATACTTTAAGGCCGTACTCTTTTGCTATAGCATGTATAACATTTATAAATTATTCTCTATATCAGCGGAGCGTTCATTTTTCATATTTAAAAGCTTTTTTTGATAAAGATACATCCATTTTCGCCTTACCTTTGGCTAAATTTCTTAGCATTATATGTCACTGTTATGACTGTTCAGAGACATAGACATAGTATAGTAAATTTTTTAGCTTTTGAAATACCTAATAATACTAGTATTAGGTGTTGTATAGTACTATTTATGATAATTGTTTGGGTGATTTGGCATAGTAATTTTTATAGTGCCTTTTAAGATATTCGGCTTTAAAATGTCAATACACCATATGATGAATTTTGGTTTTAACAAGCTTATTTAAGCTTGATTTCGAAACAACTTCTTGCAGCTGATATAAATCACTTTTAAGGCGGCTTCCTGGAAACCAACCAGTACTGGTGTCCTATGAAGGAACATGGTCGTGACCCGATTAGGGCTCGAACCCATGTGACACCTTAACCACTCACCTTAAAATGATGAAATCAGTAATACGTTTACCTATAGACGTTTTGTAGCTTGAGTCTTTGTTCTTCGTTATGGTCAGGTAATATAAACGATCCATCGTATGTCATATTAGCTTTGTCTTAAAAAGAAATTATAATAATGTTTTGTTACTTGATAAAATCAATTTGCAAGGAAGTTAACTATTTTGTTAAATAATAGAGGGTTAATGCACCTTTATTGTGCATTAACATCTGCAAGCCCGAGACCCCAGGGTTAGTGACTTAGTTTGGCCGAGGTTTTCTTTAAATGCACATTCTAGGTGTAAATTGTAGAGGTGTTTAGACGGCTGTTGTATTGCATTTGTACTTGTAATCTTGGCAGAATCATCACACATTTACTAAAATAATGTAGAAATGTTCAGTGATTTTGTAACCAAGATAAGGCAGTGTTTCAGAATATTTCAGAAATAAATTTTAAAATACTGTAATAACGAGCGTATTGTTATAAAATTGATGTCTGCAAAATGTGACAGTTGATTGTTTATACATTAAATGTTCTCTCCCCACTAACATGCTTCTACTTTAGAGCAGCATGCCAGATTCATGGTAATTTTCAAGAAACATTTGAATATATATTTTTTAGATGTAAAATATTTTAAGCGAACAAAGAAAATAATTTGCACATTGCAAATGTCACTTAGAATCTGTGTAAAATGGAGAAAAAATGAATCCCTTTAGAAAGCACAAAACGGCAAAATTGAAAATGTTGCAGACTTGGTTTGATTGAGCCTGTTCATGGACGAAACTGTCACGTGCAAACTATTGTTCACGCCCCCCCCCCTAGCAACGGACGGCTGAAGAAAAATTTAACATTTAAACATCAAATGGTAAAATTTTGAATTTAGAAACATCTGCAGATCTATTTTTACGGTGGTTATCATGGAACCTTCAATGTGACACTTCCGTGTCATTCCATTTAACCGGCGTATGGTCCTCAAGTAATAGAAAGCGTGTACCTTAAACGAGAAAACCATGGGCGAAACTGAAAAAAAAGTATTTTTGAAAGGGGATTAGAGGTTATGAAGCCTGCACAGCACGTCAAAAGACAAGGTTAAATAACGGGCAAGAAATTACTAAAAAGATAAAATATTTACATTTAACTCAACTAAAACTTATTCACGCTGTAAAAATATTGTGACATATACTTCAAAAACAGTTATTTATCGCACATTACAAGTGAGATTTTCTTGATATATTTTAGCTCATCTGGAGGCATGCAGCTTTAATGTCATTTTGAGATAATATGTTTTTGAATATTCATTTGATTTATTTTGTAGTTTCGGTTTTATATCCCCACTAAAAGATTTTGTTAGTTTTGAAGATATAGGCACTAGCCTTTTAAATAACCCCTGGCTTTTAAAGTAATGTTAGATTGTAAAACTCAAAATTGTAATAACAATTTCAAGGTGCATTATATTTGAAAGAAAAACATTCCTGTCTTGTGAATGTTGCTTATTGAAATCATTTAATGAAATATAAAGTCGGTCGTGTATGAAAGTTTTGAATTTCAGGTATATAATCATTGACTAACAGCATATTTGTGATGTTTTGTAAAGGCAATTAATAAAGCTATTGGGGTCACAAAGCTATTTCCAATACATTGAATATAAAGGAACCCGAAACACACCATGTATACTCTTCTATTGAGACAAATTGTTATTCAGTTCATGTTTTAGTATAATATCATTTATTGTTCGACACTAAATATTTTGCATAAAACACTTTATATTGTATTTCCCTCGGGTGCATTTAATACAATTTTATATCTATTGTCTGTTAGTATTATTACTCTGCGAAATCTATTTAGAATCCTCATGACGACCATACATAATTGAAACGTCCATATAGAATGTCTAAATTGTTTTGACAAAATCAGACCCTCTTGGGACTGTCGCATATGCGTTACCACAATAACTTTCAAAACATGATGGAATATTATTATATAATACATATATCATTATATTTGCAAAATATTATCATAAATACTATTTCCTGGTCGTACACAGTAACAAAAGTTAAGTTATGTGTATGTTGTAAAGCTCAAGTGTACCACAGATAATTCAGCTGTAATAACTCGAAAGTTATAACTCAAAATGAACAATATCTTTGCCTTAGAATTGAATTGAAAAGTCTTTGATATTATTTAGGATATACAGATTCATAAGTAACATACGACGTAATTTTATGGTGCGGGATTTTCTCACTGTACCTGTAAGTTGCACCACTAGATGGCGTCTGGATATTGTGAGTGCTACGTTCTGTACAATTTTTCATTTTTTGTCGTATTTCCACTTATAACTAGAAATTATCTCATTCAAATTATATGATTAGGGTCAGTTTTTTTCTCCAGACTTTCTGTAACTTATTTATGAAATTGGTAGTTATTTTCATACATCGCTTGTGAAGCAGAAAAGGTTAAGTTTTGATAGCAATATCTCAAGCACAGACGCTCTTGTCTATTTTTGCATTTGATTTGATTAAAAGTAAATTGAAATATGTTTAATTACTCTAAATTTAATTGTCACCATTTCCTTTGAAACTTTGAAATGATTGAATATGAGATGACAGTTTTTGTCAACAAGTCTCTGTTCTATAAGAGGAGATCAATTTTATCGTGCCTGGTGACACTGACTGTAGATAATGTAAGGCACATGCATTTAATGCGATAAGAAACGTAGATATAACACCTTTAGGTATAATACTAAAGTAATTTAATCGTTGATGTTTTGGAAATGTGAAAGCTTGTGACAAACTAAGACGAACAATTTCTAGATTTGATTTTATCAACGGGAAACAATAGCTTGGGAGTCAAAAGCATACCGTAGCACAAACACTCGTATAAGACCGACATGCATCTATTTAATCAGCTAAATATTTTAATTCATGCACAATATGACAAAATGTATATTGTGCACTGACATACAAACATTGATACGTCACCATTGTCGTGTCATTTATGTTTAATTAAACAATTTACTGCCACCATTATAACGAATGTTTGTTATGGAAAAAAATAAGTTCGATCTGTTTAAAAGTTAGTTTCTGTAATTTATGTTGAAAATTTACTAAACTAATGGTATCTGTTGTAGATAGTCACTGGTAAAAAGAGAATTAATATCATACTTATGGAAAATGTGACCATTTAAGATTACTTTAAATCGACACGAATATAAAGTAAATATTAGTATACACACATCTGTCAAGTTTGTGAGTTATCTGTGACTATCCAATCGGATGTTAATGTGTCTTCATTGGATGATTTCAAATGGTGTTTTGCATTTTGAACACAACACTCGCATAATACTGATTTAAAGAAATAGACGTAGGAAGAAGATCACTTGCGCTGTTTGTGATATCTGTTTTGACCTAACTCTTTACATTTCACGCTTTAATGTGAATGATTTACTTATTTATGTACTTGTATTATTATACATTACCCGCCCTATTACTCATACGTGGCATGAAATTCGCCGAATAGTTTTCGTAAAACAACAATTTATCAGGGCTTTCTTACGGGCTCGCATATAAACATCAAGTCAACGTATTGCTCCTTAATTGAGACATTTGAACAAATAGTGTTTGAAATCGTCGATCTTCTTAATTGAAAATATAAAAAAAACAATGAATGAAATTTTGGGCATACTAATTCGTTTGAACAAGCACCAACTAAACTTTAGCTTCACGTATGTTGATCACTTGGTGAATCAGTAAATCACTTGTGTCGCCAAAACTTTAACATGTAAATCCTGTCATTTAATCATTGTCTTTTGATTCACTCCTTGTAATAGATTCTCAAACTACAAGGGAAAACAAAGCTTTATAGTTAACCCCGGTGACTAAATTGTTGTTTGTGTATACGTGCAGACATTATATTGTTTCATTCCTCGCATTCTGAACTAAATTTGATTGGCTTAAAAGAAAGATTGTTGTTCTCCCCTTTTAAATTATCACAATGAAAATCGTTCATTTTCTTTAGATTTGATATTGAGAACTACGAAACTGGGATGAAGAGTATGCATTGTAACATATTGAGAGCAAACAATTAAAAATTAAGTACATATATTATTGTGACATAAGGAAATCTAAATGCTGAAACACTTTTGTATCACACACTCAGCTGTATGCATAATGATGATTTACTTAAATGAATTTACTTGATTATACCGTACAGGTAATTATCGCTAGAGAAAAGAGAGTGAAAAGCTCACTGTATTGACTTTTATGTTGTTAATGATGTGTCTTGTATCTCTTTGATTCATAGTTCCCTAGAAGATCTGTCGTATGCAAGACTTAATTAAATCAGTCAAAGTTAAGTTATATATGAAAGTTATATATGAAATATATTTTACCTTTTCTATTACACTTGCAACTTCAAACATCGATTTTTAACGTAATAAATCTGACATACAGAGTAATATAGGTTATTGAGCTTCTCCCCCACCCTAAAAAATAAAAAAATAATTTCCAGTTATACCCCCTTTTTTTATAACCTACTTTTTAAAAATAAAAAAATTTTATCCCCCGGCGTGATTCGAACCCGCGACCCGGAAAAATAAAAAAATTAATAGACACCGCACATAAAAAAAATTTTTTTTCTTCTTCTTTTCTGAATGAAGAATGATTTGACACGAGAAAAAAATATTTTTTTATCCCCGGCGGGACTCGGACCCACACCACCTAAACCCGAAAAATTATATTCTTAAAAAGTAAAATGTAATAATACCTATTACTATACTACCGACGATTAATGCTGTTTTTTTATCTTCGTGTTCTATTGATATATTTTTTTCTTTTTTTTCTATTCCATCTGATACTTTAACTAAAGATTTAGCTATTTCTTTAGGTTCTTGTAAAGATTTCTTTGTTGGCGTTCCTTTAATTTCTGTATGTATAATTGGTTTAATTGGTTGAATATTAACATCATTATTCAATCCGAGCTTTTGATAATCAGTTGCTACTATAATTTTATTATTATAATTTTGTATTTCTCCAATTCTTAATTCCATATCACTAGGTGCCATATATAATCCAATTCCAAAAACATAATCAACTTTAAC